TATATATATATATGACAAAATGTGGCATTCAAACTTGCAGGAAACTGTTTTTTTTCATGTCAAGTGCCAAAAATGATGCTTCATATGGACACTGAATACTGTTTTTGACAGTATCGGTATCAACTAGCACTTGTAAAAAGTGGCATTCTTCACTTTTTAACAGTTGAAAATGCAGTGATTTAATTGGAACGCCATAAAAAAGTGGTGTTTGTTCAGCATTTAACAGCGTATAAAGTGGCATTGTTATAGAAATGCCATCCACAGCGGTATCCTAAACGGCAAATTGTAAAATGCAGCATTTTGGCAGCTTTTGAAATGCTAAAAGCAGCATTTTTTTATTAGTGCGCCAAAAAAAAGCAGCAACTTTTTGTAGTTTTTTGCTTTTGATGGTGTAAAAAGCAGCGTTTTAAAAGGAGCAAATTTTTTTTGTTTGTTGTTTTTTTGGCATAAACAGCAGCTTTTCATTGAAACATCATAAAGACACGTTTCAATTGGCAAGTTGTAAAATATGGCATTTTGAGCTGTTGATGGTGTAAAAAATGGCATTTTTATTAGAATGCCATTAAAAGTAGTGTTTTAACTTCGTAAAAAGTGTTTTAATAAGAGAGCTATAAAAAGCCTAGAGTTTGTTTGTTTTTTTTTTTTGCCTGTTGGCAGCATAAAAAGTCGCTTTTTTATTGGAACACCATGAAATTTCAATGGTGAGCTGTAAAACGGAGTAAAAAGCAGCATTTTCTTCAGCTTTTGATGGTGTAAAACACTGCCCTTTTTCGAAACTGTTTTCACTGGTGAGCTGTAAAATGTGGTGTTTTGACGATGTAAAAAGCAACAGCCTTATTCGAAAAGCGTTGTTTTAATTGGCAAGCTGTTACGTGGCATTCTGGGGTTTTTTTTCCTGCTTTTGATGGTGTGCAACGTAAAGTTTTCACTGGGCCGCCATACAAAGCAACACTTTTTTTTAGCTTTTAACGTTTTGGTGTTAAAAGCTGTGCTGTAATTGGAGCGTCATGTTTTAAAAATGTAGTTTTAATTGGAGAACTGTAAAAAGTTTTTGTTTTTTTAAGCCCATGATGGCGTGAAAGCAACATTCTATTTAGAGCATGTTTAAAAAAACGCCTTTTTTTTACATTTTAATTTGAAATTCTGCATTTTATTTGGAGTGACGTAAAAAGAATCATTTTCCCAGCTTTGCGTGGCATTTTATGGAAAGCCGCAAACAAACAGAGACGATTTATGACACTTTTTGCTTTCTACTCAAGCTATGAGCTCGATGGAATCTAGTGCGGCTAGTGATGCCATTTTTCCATAAAGAACTGATTGGTTAGCTGTGTTTTTGAACGGTATGTTATCTTGAACACTGGCAATGTACCCGAGTAGAAAGCGAACCCCCGTCTTAGCCCTGAAAACCTGAAGTCACCTCGCTAACCTCAAACCCTGCTTCACAGCGCAGGCCTCTGGTCAGTGTGGGGGCACATATTACTGACAGTATCCCAAACCAAAAGTCGTCCTGCACATTTGTACGATCAGTTCAAGGCCAAAGCTGCTGTCATGTTCCTCCTCTTTGACCACAACACAGCATCTCTTTGGCAACAATAAACATAACAGATTTCTTTTTTTTTTTTCCCCACCCCAAACCTTCCATCCTTCACAGGTACAGTACATCAATACTCTCAAAGGTATTTTCGTCGAGATACAAAAATATTACGGACAGCCATCGAGATGGTTCTATGCTAAACTGTTACAGAATATTAAAGCCTTGGGAGGCAAACAAACACTTAGAAGACACTACATGTCGATCGTTGGGTGTTTTTAAAAGGTGGAATCCGTCTTTTTCGAGGCTCTGGAGTCGAAACAGCCGACCAGCCAACCTTCCTTACATTTACACGCACAGAAAGCACAGCGTCGTAGCATCTCATGATCGTGACATCCGCCTTCCTTTCAGAACAGACAAACCAGATGTAACACTGAACTGATGGTTTCCAACCTAAAAGCAATGACGAGATTCAGTTTTAAGTGCTATAAAAACTCATTTTCTGTTTCAGTGCGGAGCTCAGATTTGTCCTTTTTATAAATAATCCAAATTATGTTGAATTCAAACTTTTTCTTTTGAAGCTGAAAAGATTTAACAGCTCAGCTTCTCGTAGTACAAATCTGCTCCAAACAAGCTCAGAATATACAGCGAGTGACAGTAACAGTAAAGTCAGGCAGTTGTTCCGATCTCTCTTACAAACATGGTAGAAATGGACAGAAGCAGGGAAATACCGGATGTACAGTCTGATGTGCTGATTTACAAACACAAAAAGCACATTTATCGAGACAAACCTCTGTGCAGACAAAAATAGAACGGCCTTTTCAATGCTGTTGTGCCAGTTTGTGTTTGTTTGAGATATTCGCCCGTAGGTTTAGGCAATATGACGACAAACTGACAAAGAAAAGTGTTTCTGCCAAGGTATCTGTCCGTTCTGGGTTGCCGCAGAGGATCTTGTTGGAAATCAATGAGCTCGACTGCTTCCTGGCAATATCGGATTTACAGGATTGTTGCATCAATGTGATGAAGCACCTTGATTTTTCAGGTATTTAACTTCACTGGATTAACCAAAAACAGACAATCCCATCACGTCTACTGAACGAGATTCCAGAAAGTGTGCAATATTATATTAGGTATACCATGATAGGTTTAATCCATATTGCCCACTCCCATTGGCTTATATCATGATTAGAGAACTGGTGTCTTCATGTGCAGTCAAGCCCCAAATTATTCGTACTTGTGCTAAATTTAGATTTACAGTGAATTTTTGTTTGACTAATAGGTTTCTTCTGCCTAAAAATGACACAAACAAGCGACAAAATACAGTAAGACTTTGTGTTGGAGATGCTATTGATCGTTTATGTCCAACATTATTGATACCCTTTCTCACCAAGCAGTGTCCAAGCCTTTCCTGTAACTGCTAACAAGCTTCACTGGGATTGTGGACGATCTGTAGATCTATTCATTTGGTAATGTTGTTTTCTCTTCACCATTTTGTCACCACTTTGGCCGTATGTTTCAGATCTTTGTTTTTTCTGAAGGTCCAATGTTGCCCAAGATCAAGTTTATCTTGCAGACTGATGTTTGTCTCCAAAGTCTTCATGCCGTCCTCCTTTCTTGTGATGCCATTTACTGGGATGAGAATGCATGAAAAACACCCCTAAAGCATCACATTCCCGTCGGCATGTTTGACCATATGGATGGAAATATTGGGGTTAAATGATCTCCTTTCTTTGTATCCAAAAACTTTCATCTAATCCAAAAACGGCATCGATTACCAGAAGCTTCCATCTTTGTCCTTTGTGTCTGCCTTGGAGATGTGGACTCCATCTTGCATTGAGATGTTGCTCAGATTCATCAGGTTGCTCTCGGTGCTGATCCTTGGCTTCTTCTTGCCAGTGCAGGGGTCACTTTGACTTGTTCCCACGCTCTTTGAGATTTTGTCTGTGTGGAGCTTCTTGTACTTTTTGATCTTGCTACGTGAAAACACAGGGTATGGCTTCGTACCTTGTTTCCTCATAGCTCTGTGTCCATTTACAAATCAACCAGAACTCCATTCATTCCTACAAGAGCGTCTGTGATCCTTGAGTATGTTGAAAAATTTTTAACTTTACCGTTTACTATGGAGAGACTGGACTGTGTCCATCCATCCATCATCTATACACCACTTAATCCTCACTAGGGTTGCTGGAGTCTATCCCAGCCGACTCAGGGTGAAGGCAGGTTCACCTGGACAGGTAACCAGTCTATCACAGGGCTACACTTAGAGACAGACAACCAAGCACACTCACATGCACACCTACGGATAATTTACAATCACCAATTAACCTCAGCATGTTTCTGGTCTGTGTGGGAGGAAGCCGGAGAACCCGGAGAGAACCCACGCTGCACGGGGAGAACATGGAGACTCCACGCAGGAAGATCCCGGGTGTCCTCATCGGGATGCAAACTGGCAACCTTCTTGCTGCAAGGCAACGGTGCTAACCACTGAGACTGGACTGTGTGCGCCAGGGAATTGGAAAAATGAGTTTGCACAAACTATTCAGCTGGCGGACGATGTTGAAAGTCAAATGCCTATTTACAAAAGAACCTACTTTGGCGAGCTTAACACAGACCGTCGTGGTTTATATGTCCTGAAACAAAATATTTCACCAAACTGGCTCCACGTGTGGCAGCATGACCTCCTCACTTGTTTTATATCCGTGTATTATTGGTCCTGTTTTAGTGGCAGTAATGCTTCAAGCAGATATTCCATAAAACTGTCCTTAAACAACAGGTGATGCAGTCCGTATATCATGCAAACTTATGGACATGGAGCTATGTGGAAACGTGGCGTTATAGTCTTAGCAGCTCTCTCAATGATAGACGCTAGTAGACGCTCACTGAGCTCTTTGGTTTTAACCATGACTTGCAACTAACTAGTAACTGACTCGAGACCTACGGCTGTAATTGTTTTCGATTAATACTCTCTTAGAACGCTCTAGAACATGGTGGAAATTACCTGGAATGGTATAGAGGCTGCAATTTGCCAAAAACTGGCCACAATTTCAAGGGATGCGAATATCTTGGACATGGCATATTTAGTAAAAAATTAAAAATAATAATAATAATAATTTTTTTTTTTAAAAGATAGAAAGGGTTAGAATTTATCATTAACATCTCTAACACAAAGTCTTACTGTCTTTTGTCACTTGTTGTCATCATTTTCAGCAAAAAGAAACCAACTGGTCACATTAAAAATTCACTACTAATCAAAATTTGGCATCGGAGTGAATAATTTTGGGCTTAACTGTAGCAGCTCAAATCCTGAATATTTCCACTTGATGCCAATTTCTTTTGGATAAGTAGCATTAAAATGGATTTCCACGACCATGTGTGCCCGTCTCTATGCCAAAACTCTTCCCTTCTGTCTCTTAGCGATAAATTCTTATAGATACTGTTTTCTAGTTACTTCAAACCATGCATTGCTATATTTAAAAGGAGAAAAAAAAAAACTTTAATAAGAGTTAAATCTGAAATTACGTCCGTCGCTCCTTGTCACATTGTTGTGTCTGATGCTTACAGTAAAGAGGGGTTGGTTGTGATGGCGGTGCTGGCACTCAGTTTGGTAGAGAGAATGATGTTTATCTAAAACAGTACAGTTGTGGTCCTGATGCAACAAAGAAAGAAAAAGTCACAACTTATTATGTTGTCAAGGTTTGATCATCTGTTTCCTCAAAAAAAGAAAACATTCTGTAACCAGACAGCCAGTAAGATTCCCTTTGCTTCCTTCTGTCACATGAGCGTGTCCTTTATCTCCAAAATATTAACATCATATTACTTGTGATACCTCAAGGATTCTTGTTGATATTCATGAATACAAGTAAAACCGTTTCCTAAAAAGTACAAAGTCTGTGGAGCTGTACAGTCTCGTCCAAAGTGCTGATCCTTTGCTGAAAAGTTGACGTCGGTTTGCGCCACAGTTTTAGGTGTCCAGGTGGCTCCACAGTCTCATGAATTCTCCCCAACATAAATTAAAAAGTGAAAGAGGTGGCAAAATGTGATGCTTTTCAAAGGTCTGTCCTTCCACTTTGTCTCTTTGATCCAGAAAAATATGCAGAATTCAACATACAAGTTTCCCCTGGTTTCATAAATTCATCATACATACAGTATATATTACTCTGGAAACGTTATATATTAACCATTCTCTTTTCGGTATTCTAAACTGCTTCGGCCGGTCCTACGTCGTGGTAAGACGGACCTTTCAAAAGTGTCCACAGGAGGTAAGAGGCACTGTCTTGTGTTTCTAAAACCTGATGTTAAAAATTAAATCAGAAGTCATGCTAGTAGGCCAAGTTGTTGTCACAGAGAGGCAGTAGATATCCACAGCTCCTTATTCTTTGTCTCCGTCTTCGCTGCTTCCTGCAAAACACACAAAGAGGCAGAATGGATTGATGTACACGGGTGTTTTTCACGGGCTACTGGGCATCTTTTCCTCCAAATGTTGGCAGATTTCTGAGAAATTTGGCGAGAAAGTGTGTTGTCTCATTAGTGTTGTAAATCAGTCTGTGGCAACATGTTGCAGCCAACAACTGCTGATCCCAGACTGGGATTAACTCGAATACAAGACTAGAGTAGCCTTTTAATTAGTTACTAGATTTATGTTTGAGTTGTTCCAAGAGCCGAGGTGAAGTTAAACCTCAGAGGAGCCAAGTTCCACTCGGATCTCTTTAGGCATCATGGCTGGATGTAGAAATAACTTTAAAATGTCCTCTGTGCACTATGACTATGTTAGAACGCCGTAAATCGTACAAAACAAAAAGAAAAAAAAGCAAAAGTTGAATAAAAATAACTGTGAAAATATTGCAAATATAGCTTATGCTTAAACTAATATTGATGTCTTTAGAAGTTTCTTTCTCTGAACTGGGGGTTTACCAGCTGTTATCTGCTATAGGCAATACACTTTAATCTTTATCAATTAGTCCAGAACTCAAGAGACAAAGTAGCTACAACAGATTTAAAATGTGCTTTAGAAAGCCAGAATGAGCTATTTTACATTATGAACTACTCTTTGATTAATCTTTACTTTGTTTTGGAAATTAGTGCAATATGTTCTTTCAGTTTTGTGCTCCAAGTTGGAACGGTGACTTGATATTCAGACAGCAAACTGTATCAGACTTGAGGCCAACTGTGGCCATGTTTTAGGAGTTTTGAACGTTCTGTTGCAGGTTTTTTTCCATCCCTAAATTAGAAATGACGTGTGCTATGAGGTTTGACGTTGGATGTAGCGGTGACGCACCTCCTGCTGAGTCCATATCGGAGTCGGAGATGTGGGTGATGGAGAACCGGGACACGTTGGAGGGGGAGACGGTGAAGCGGGAGAACTGCACGGCTGGTTTGGGTTCCGGGGCTTTGGTGACGGAGCGAGGCGGAGGGGAGTCGGATGTCACCGAGGACGTGGGCAGAGGGAGCAGAGGAAAGTCGTCCTCCCACTCATACCCTGCACCTGAGAGACGAGGGCGAGTAAAGGTTTGATATCTGCTGCTGGACGCGATCAAACATCAGGGCCAATTGATTTTGATAGTGTTACCAATTAGTAATCAATTAATATATTGACAAAATTGGGCCCAGTGGACATTTATCTTGTGCTGATACTGCTGTTTTATTTAACACTATATAGGAATGCTGTCCTAGTGGATCCGAGCCTGTCTTAAACATATAAGATCTGGCGGGAGGTCATTAATGTGAGTCTTTCTCATGGTGCCATTGATGGCTAAACACCCACAATGCTCTCCGCTTGCCAATATAACTTGCCAATAGTCTGAGTGACTGCCTATTCAGCTCACTACAGTACTAAACACCAAGAGGCTCGTGGAACAACCAGGTACCACAGCTAATCTGTAATACGTTGTCTGACATGCATGTAGAAAATACAGGTTGTTTCCATCTTTTAGAGCTTGTGAAGCCACAGTACATCCTACCCTCGAGCACTACATTTAAGACAGTGACCTGCTGGAGTTTTACAACAAGGTTTGTGACCACATTAATGAATATTAAGCTTGGATCCAGAAATGCTTTTTTTTTTCTTCTTCTTAATGCATGCAGTAGTTATTTTAATAACTCTAATGTACTTAAAGAGTGTATTATCTAGGACTTGGCAGATATTAGACATCCCTAATTTAAACTAATAAATATACTTACTCTCCTCTGAGATGTTCCCATCTGAGGAGTCATCAGATGCATTAACCCTCTCTTGGGATTTGCTTCTTGTGCTCTGACCTTCGGCTCCTAAATGGATGCCATGCTCAGCCAGCTCTTTAGTTGGGCTTTCCTGATGTTAGAGGATGAAAAGTAAGTTAAAGGTCTGTTAGTTCATTTTTGTCACTGGAGGAGCAGAAAAACTTTAATGCAGCTGACAGATGCAAAGACATATTTGACATAAAGCGCATTAATAGGGCTAACTTTTGACTACTTACACAGACATAGCAAAACTAGCAAAAACTGAGTCGCATTTGTTCACTGAATAACCTTAGTTCAATATTCATTGACTTATTGGTCCTCTTGCGCATAGTCTAATTTTCAAAAATATATTTATTTGTGACTTTTTGTGCTTCAGGCAAATCCAGCAACAAAACTTTGCAAGAGTCTGTCTGACACTTTTGAAAGATTTTTACTCACCTGATCGAACAAATAGACGGTAACATCATCAAAAAACGACACAGTCTTCTTCTTGCGTTCGAGCTCCTCCTCCAGGCTCTCTGCAGTGAGCAGGATGGGCATCTTGAGGAGGCTTCGCAGTTTGTGGGCTTCGCTGTCGTCGCTAATCACGATGGGCACCGGGTGACACTCGTCCTCGCTCTCTTCCCCGCCGCTCTGTTCCTGCACGTTGTAGCTTCGCAGCTCCTCGTCCGACTCGTCGCTGTCGTCGGTGTCGCCGTCCTCCTCGTCGGCCTCCTCCCCGTCAGCTGGAGATGCTCGGCCCTCTGCTGCAGGGAGTGGAGGTGGAGGTGTGGAAGGAGGTGGAGGTGAAGATGAAGAAAATCGTCTGGTGTTTGCCGTGTGCTGCAAGGCCACCTCGTCTTTGGGTAAGGTGTGAGGGATTTCAGTGGATATCCCTGATGGCCTGTTTTGAATTGTCTTGATTTCTGGCTCCTCCACAGCAGAGTCTTGTACATCCTCTGTTTCCTCCTCTTCTACCTTAACATTGGAGGCACAATCTCCGTTCAGGGCACCAAGAGCTTCTTCCATTGCCCCCACCACCTCGGCTGCCCAGTCTCCCAAGGATGAGTTCTCTTCCTGGGATGGCCATTCATCCAGTCCTCCTTCTGTTACTGAAGCAGTGTCAGAGGGCCCCAGAGTTTCATCCTGGCAACACTCATCTGCCAAGAATTCCTCCATGTCTGGTGGAGATGAGGATTCTGGTAACGTGTGTTTCATTTCAAGTTTTATGTCTTTGTTCGCTACACCGTCCTCTTCTTCATTCTTCCTTTTCTCAGCCTTCTTTTCTCCAGCGTGCTGGCCCTTCTCCACACTTTGTTCATCTATGGCTGTCAGCTGAAGTTCTTCTCCCTCGTCCCGAGACTGTCTTTCATTCTCATAGTCTGAAAAGTAGGCAGAGTCTCTGTACGGAGTCTTATCACTCAGCGGCAACAGAATGTGGTCACCTGTCTCCGAGGCTAAATCCTCACCAAGTGATGGCTCGCCCTCTGCAGGCGCCACTTCAGCCTCGACTCCATGCTCCTCCAGCTCCTCATCTTCCTCCAGGCTTGCGTCTAGGGTAGGTTTTCCCAGAGGTTGTTCGCGTGGCTCATGAGGCTCTTTAGGGACGAACTCAGGGCTTTCGTTATTCTCTGTGTCGTAGCCACTGTCCATAGCTTTAGGTGAGCTGGAGGGGTGGGAGGACGCAGGGCTGAAGCCTTCGCAAGACCCAGCTGCAGATGGCAGATCCATGGAGTCCATGGAATCAGGAGTTCCCACCTGCTTCTGCAGTGACTTGAAGGCAGGAGAAGCATTCAGCTCGCAGGACTCATCAGCAAAGATGCCCGAGGTGACATCAGTGATATCGTCAGTGATGTCTTCCTCTTCGTCATCGTCGCTGCAGTCGAGGATGTCAGCGAGGCTTACGCTGGAGCCGCCACGGTCAACGCCGCTATCGGCGGTTTGACTCAGCTCCGACTGTGGATCTGTGATGGACACCATGACATGCATGTTGTCAGAAGGAGGTGGGGTGGCTTTAGTCATTGTCAGGGTCACCTCTTCCTTTCTAGGCTCTGGCGGTTTTTGCATGATTGGATTTTCCTTGATTATATCGTCCCTTTTCTCTTTAAGGGGTGTATCATCAGTTGAAAGGTCAACATACTGCTCTCCACAGTCCTCAGATTTCATCAAAGGAGGCTTGGCAATGATAGGACCCCCCGGCGCCGGTGACAGATTAATCATCTCTTCATTGCTTGGGATGTCGATGACTTTATCTCTGATGTAGTTGCTGTGACTGTAGCTGTGACAATAGCTGTTGTTTCTGACCAGCAAGCCAGTGAGCGGATCAACAAAGTGTGAGTGGCAGCACTCTCCGGATGCTGGCACCTGAGTCTCACCTTCATGGCACAGGTAGATGTAGGCATTGCAGTTGTCTGAGGGCACCATTGCATGATGTTTGCCCAGACTGAGGCAGGCACTGTTATCTTTGGCCTGATGTGGCTCAAGGTAGTCGATGGGTTTGGGCAGAGAGTGGTAGGCCAGGCTGTGCTCCTCTGGCCAGGAGTCTTCAATGTCCGTACTTGGCATTGTATAGTGGAAATCAGCGTATGTGTCCTGTCTGCAGCTGTGGCTCGCCCGTCTGTGGTGACCACCGCTGCTGTGGCGGTGCTTCGAAGGCCAGGTGTTGCAGGTGTGTCTCTCTACAAATATGTCCTCCTCCTCTTCTTCTGTATCGCTGTCTCTGTGTCCGATGAAGAGAGCCCCCTCTGTCTCCATGTTGATGCTGACAGAGTGGCTGTTGTGCCTCGTGTGGCTGGGCATCGTCTTCCTCAAGGAGCCCATCATGTCATAGTAGCCCCCAGTCACGTTCTTTCCTATGATGGAGGTCTGGCTTGTATCCAGGTATGTGTCCCGGTAGGCCTGTTGAGGCGGACTGTTCACAGAGGGGGATATACCCAGTGGGTTCTCCAACTCACCCAAGGCCTGACGCAGGTTTCTTGACCCCCAGCTTTCCTGATGGTGCATGCCGGAGGGCTCACTTCCAATCAGATAGTGGTCTAATCCAAAAGGAGGTGAGTGCTCATAGTAGTAACCCCCATCTCTGTCTTTATAGGATACATAGTGACTCGACTCCCAGGGCCGCAGGGGGCTGTTGTCCGACACTTGGCCCAGAAGGGGCTCCATTGTCAGGGAGATGGCAGGACTTGAGTCATTGGAGTCATACACGTCGGTTTTATGGATGTCTGCTGACCAATAGGGAGCCATGGTTTTAGCCTGTGATGGGCAGGCCATGCACTCACCCGAGTCTGCGCTTCCAGTCAGGAAGCTGCCACTGCTGCCCTGGTAGTCTGGGCTGTAGGAGCACATGGTGTAGTCTGGATCAATGTTACAATCTACAGGCTCCTCAATGCGGATGAAATATTCACTGCTTACTGAGGGACTATGTGCACTGAGGACAGGCAGTACGCCTGGAGCATGAAGATGTTTTGGTTGATAGTAAGAAGGAGAAACTCCATGACTGAGACTTTCCATGGGGCAACCTCCCACAATGCCCCCAGGTGGGTAAAATGCTTCCTGACAATGATGGCTGACTTGACCCAAGGTACTGGAGTTGTCCGGGGCTCTGTATGACTGGTCTGCCCTGGCTTGCTCCCACTTGTACTCAAAGTTCAGGCCATGGCTGGTCTCAGTGACTGTTAGTATGTCGTCTCCGGACTCTGAGTGGTAGCCGTCACCAGCCGAAAACTGCTCGAGGAGAGGGAAAGAGGAAGAGGAGGACGAGGGGTGGTCTCGTGACATCGCCGAGGGACCACGGTGGCTGTTGAATCCGGTGTTGGGACGCATGGAGTTCCAGCGCCTCTCGAAGTCCTCCTCGGCCTCGCTGGCCCCCTTTGCACACAGGTAGCTGAGCAGCAAGTGGACTTCCTCTGCATTGGGTCTCTGATCGGGTTGGAGCCAGCAGAACTGCATCACCTCGTACCTGAGGACCCCAGATGAGACAAAAAAGAACAACAGACAAATGGACCAGCCAATTATTACCATGCAGGTGTTTAGAGTTAGTTTCCTGTTTGCAGTACTACAACTATTAACAATGATCATGTTTGGTGACACTTTATATAAAGATGCACATATTTACCATTACCTTATTGCTTATTAGCTTATCAGTACCTAACTAGCTTTTTCATTAGTCATCATATTGCACTTATTCATCCCGTATTCTGCAGGACCATATTTTACAACTACTGGACCATGAACAAAGAGTTTTCCCTTAATATCCTCCCAGTTAACCCTGTAAGTCTCAAGCAGTTTCTAAGCTTTTTTGTGTGCTTCTGTCACATTTTTCTTTATCATGGACCCAGTTTTCACTGCAACATTAAGTCCTGCACCTCTATGGAAATACAACAACAACTTAAAGCATTTCTTTTGTGCCATACAACAAAGCTATAGTAATATAAATCCTAAAAATAAAAAGCAGGTAGAACTATTTCCTTTGGTGAAGGATCACTTGAAAGATTTTCAAATATGGCCAAGAGTAAAAGCTCATTTGGATCACACAGATTTTCACCATATCTGTACATATATATGTTTTTACACACTGTATGCCTAACTGAGAGTTATTTGGACACTGTTAATATTTGTACTCTTGTTACATAAAGCCTAGATGGATACTAAGCACTGGATGTAGTTCAGGCACAGACTATTTCCTTGCTTTAATTAGAATCTGCGCAAGAAATGGGAGTCCATACATCCTGTAAGGAATTTAATTGTGTTGCTCTCAGTGTTGTGTTTTCCGCATTCGTCCTTCTCCCTGAGGCCCGTTAAATATTTTACTGAACCAGTTTGTGTGCATGACTCACCAGCGCTCAGCCAGCGGCACTTTGAGCAGCGGTTTGGGCAGTCGCAGCTGCTGCTCCCTCACAGCGTAGGTCAGCACTTGTCTGTCAGAATAGTGCCTGTACGGCTGGTTTCCCAACTCAAACAGCTCCCAGATAGTGACTCCCAGAGACCTGAGACGCAGGATAACATGAACATCAGTGATGAGTCAACATGAAACTGTAATTTACGACAAGTATGTGTCATTCCCCCTGAGTACACATTACTAATAAGCCTGAAGTAATGCTTTTGTTTTCGTTTGCTGCCAAGGCTTTATAACTGTACGTGCTGCGATTAGGTTTTGGGAATGTTCACGGAGCGCGTCACCAGAGCAATATGTGCAATCACTAACTGTCACGAGCCAGGATGCTGAGTAATGTCGCGTTATCAACACCAGGACCTGTGGTACATGTTTCTGTGGCCGGTGGCAGACGAGGGGACTAATACACGATGCACAACCATGTGAATGCCAAATAAAACACTTTGCATATTCTTGGTTGCGTTGCTGACCTGATGCGCTTTTCTAAAAAAGTCTTGTACACTGTAGACTCAACTCTTGTCACCGGTGATGTTCTTCAACATGAAGGTTGGATCAGTTTGACACAGAATTTGATGTTTGTTCTCCACACAGATTTAAGCTCTGTAGTGAAATAGTACATCTGCACCTGCAATTAATCAGAACTGGACTTTCGGGGAGTGTTGCAGGAGCACCGGGAGCAGTGTATCGCTGCACAAAGAGACTACTTTGAAGGGGTTGACAGCCGATTTTTTTTTTAAAGTTGGGGCTTTTTTTACGCTGAACTTTTTGATTGCGTCATATTTATTCAGTGAATCTGTTATAACCCTGCTGTCATGTAATACATGTCAATTATTTCCCCTATTTTGTGCTGGATGATATTAAATCTTACTTTGACTTATTTTCCAAGTGCAGATAACTAAATGTGCGTGTGTGTGTGTGTGTGTGTGTGTGTGTGTGTGTGTGTGTGTGTGTGTGTGCATGTATTCCTGGAAGTGAGAGCTTATTGATTCTCACTTTGTAGCACATATCAGAACAGCTGTCCGGGCGTTCTCACTTGGTTTTAGGACAAATTTACTATTAAATTTAGGTCAGGGATGTGGTAGTGATAGGTGTTCATCATTATTTGTGATGGTTAAGGTTAGCATTCATGTCAACAGACACCCTTACAAATACAAAAGGGTAAATATGCTGATGTTACCAGATGTTGCTCGGTTGGGTCTGATCAGCCACCAGCAGGTTTCCGTGCACCTCATCCACCAGCTCCGGAGCGATCCAGCGCAGCGGCACGTACATCTGGTCCGATGTCACGTAGTAATCGTCCTGACAGGAGGGTTGGATGAATAAGAATAAACTGAATTACTTGCTGGATTTCCTTATTTGATAGAATGTTGTGAATCAAGTAAAATCTCACTTTGGTGATACAGATGTTGGATGTATGTTATCTGATTCTATTTCACATAAAGCCAAACTAATCAAACTCTTTTCTTGAAAACACACAGGCCTCGTGTTTGGATGTTTACGTGGTGAACAGATGTACCTTGTACTTGGTGTGGGACAGTCCATAATCTCCGATCTTCACTGAGACATCCGCAGTCAACAAGCAGTTCCTCAGAGCCAGGTCACTGATGACAGAGGGGGGTATTTAGAGAGGAAGACGGGGGGTAAACAGCTGTTACATCTCCTCACTATTTATACACGCACTAAACAAGAGCAGAACATTGTGGGAGGCTTGTATTTCTGAAGGAACAAACAATTAGGAGGCCTGCCTGCCTGCCTGCCTGCAAAAACACTGACTGACAGCGCGATGAAATAATTATTATTTTGGCCTGGTTCAACACTTCTATCTTTGAAAACAACAAAGCACATCAACATCCACTCGCGTCTCTGCTGCAGACTGAGTGGAGGGTTTGTTCTGGAGAGGAGGGGTCACCGCCTGCAACAAAATCACTGATGCTGGAGTCGATAAGGAGCACTCAGGCAGCACCAGGATATTGTTTCAGGAAGCAACCGAGAAGCGTGAGGCTAATTCTAATCATTGTGCGGTATGATTGCTGGGCTCTGCTTTGTAATCTTTACGCTGTGTGTGAGATCTAGTAGCAGAAACATCTTGTTACCTGTGCGTGAAGTTGTGTTTGTGCAGGTGCAGGAGTCCTGAGGCGATGTCGCAGGCCATCCGCTGGAGAATCAGGGGCTCGGGGGTCATGGTTTCGGCAGTCCTGCAGCTTCGGAGGTAACCCTTCACATCGCCCTGAACGCAGCAGAGAAACAAAACATCTGTGTGCTGCAACCTCTGGCCACTGGAGGGCAGTGTTGTCTTTGTGCTGTGCTTTGTAGGAGTCGCTGGTGTCTTGTCCAGTCATGTAAATCTCTGTTAGAATCTAAATGCTGCCTGAAAGAACAGCAGATTAACTAACAAAACACTGCAGTTTAAAATATATAAAGCTGGATTATTAGAAATCTAGGGACAGAACAGACAAATGCATCCACCTGAGTGAGTGAAATTTCTTCCTTGCTATCTAACCTTCTCTTCCTGTTTGGCCTTTGTATCATGGTTTAACTACTGCTGCTATAGCATCACAGAAGGCCCTCTTTTAAAAAAAATCAACTGAATTTAACTGTGAACAAGCCATATTTCATCAGCAAACACCGATTTACTTCACTTTATACCGTAGCCAGGATAAATATACAAAAAAAAAAAGCTAAGAATTGGCAGGAAGGCAGCTCTCGCTTCTGCTGTTATTTACAATAAATATCTGTGTTTATCCCACAAAACTAATCAATCCTGCGCAGAGGATGATGGATTTTGGGCTGCTGTTGTGGTGGTACAAGTGTAGCTTGACTTATTTGTAATGTTGAGCTTGTCTGCCAAATGTTTACAGCAGCTGCCAAGAAGGAGTTTAGTGCCAAAGGTAGTAAACAAAAAAAATAAATAAATAAAACATCTCGCAACTACATTACAAAACGTTTTCAATCACTTTAATGTTCTGAGTGAGTTACAGGAGATGAGGTCAAAAAAACTGACAAGGACTTTGATAAATTACGGTGCATGTCTTGTGTATATAATTCTAATACACCTTATGCACTTACACACTTAATGTGATTTATTAAAACACCAAATGAAATGGGGGACGTGGCACCACTCAGGTTATAAATCTGTACGGTGAATTTACGTCAAATGTTATTTTATCTTTCTTTTTTAAATGACGTGATGTCAGTCGTTCTCTGAACACCTGTGCTGTGGGTTTGCGAACTCACCAGTGGACAAAACTCCATCACCAGCAGGTAGGGAGTGACTTCGGTGCACTGGGCCAGACAGTGCAGCAGCGCAGGATGCTGGAGGGCGCTAGAGAGCACGACAGGAGATGTGTTACACTTTGAAACCCACATGATGCTCGTTCACAGGTTCCTGATTCTATTTTTGTGTCCTCTTAGAGTATGTTTGCATGCTTCAGTGTTAAATGTTCTGATAGTGCACATCGCTGCAGCACCTTTTCTCACCCTGTGTCAGTTTTAGCTCCTTTCTCTCAGAATAACTCTCTTTAGTGAGTGAAAATCAGCTGTATGACACACTGGGGTAGGAAGAAACCCAAAAAGCAGAATATTTAAAGTGTTGCTGTTAAGTTCCCCCTCTCATGTGGGGTGTAAAAAAATCGTACTTTTATATGTAATGCAGTCCAACGTGCCACCACCACACGCACAACGACCTCAACAACAAACACTAGTGAAAACGTAGAGGCTTCGTAAAAGCGTAGTTAATGGTAGAGCTGCTGTATTTGATCACGCAGGGTAATTAGACTTCACAGGTGTATATAATAAAGTTAGAGGCAACTAATGATTATTTCATTTGCTAATTAATCTGTTGATTATTTTCTTAATTGGTCGATTAGAGTTTGGTCTGTAAAGCGTCAGAGGCCAAAGCTGAAGATGACAAATGTCTTGTTTTACCCACAACCTAAAGATATCTGGTTTACTGTCACAAAGGGAGAAGAAACTAGAAAATATTCACATTTAAGAGTCTGGAATCAGAGAATTTAGAAAGGAAATTTAAATAATTAGGTGACTAGACGCTGACAGCTAATCCAATCAATCGTTTCCGTTGGCAGGTCAGAATATAAACACTGTACATGCCTATGAAGAGATCAATAAAATTGTTATCTGTAAATGTATACATACTGTATATTTACATTAATTCTAAACTATATTGACGATAATTTTAGCATTACTACAAACTGATTGTGAAAAATTGATTCTATAATTAGTTCAAAAAGTTGTAATAAAAAGAAATGATTGCTTAGAAGTGAGGAAAACACATTGTAATTAAAATATCTGCATAAAGTAAACACATGCTGGTATATTTAACTAAATAATGATTGTAATTTCAAATAATGATCCAATTTTGTGTTGTGAAAATACACTAACAAGAGAAAAACTTAGACTAACGGGGTTTTCTCATAGTTCCCCAGGTGCACATGTTCCCTGATAATAAGTTTTGCATGTAATATCTGAGCCTTAGAGGCTCTCAGTGCCTCCAAACATCAGATTTATGTGGATTAAGTCTCCTAAAACTAGCAGAAATGCAGTCAGAAACAAAGGCAACGGAGGTGAAGGTGTACCGGTACGGTTGGGCTTCTTCCAGGAAGTGCATCTGGTCCTGCACGCTGGCGCTGGCCTTGAGCTCCTTCACCACCACCTGGGTGGTGTTCAGGCCTGCGTTCACCTCCCCGAGCAGAACCTGAAACCACACAGGTACAGACAAATACGTACAGAGAAGACACACACAGGCAGGTCGATGCACAAACAGACACACGGGGCGGGAGTGACCGTCACACAAAGACACACAACAGGACGTGCAGGAGTTGAGCAGAAGAACACACATACGGATGGACGTACCCAGCGAAGGGACACGAGGATGGAAAGGACGGATGTGGATTCATGAACGGGAGGAGACACAGACAAAGAAACAGAGGAGGGAGAGAACGACAGCATGTTATCTGCTTGTAAAAACACGACGCCACACCTCGCTGTCGGCCTGCAGCCGGGGATATTACTTTGAGAATTTCAGCAGCGTAAAATTTGCTCTCGGGGCCTAAAGTCTATCACTTCTGGGACAAGCCGACATCAAAGGCAAGAGAGGGATCAGGCTGGCATTACACACTCAGACATTACAGGTAACGCAGCGTGTCGGACATTTTTAACCGACTCCGTTCCGAGCACCGGAGGCCAAGATCACAGCGAGGACTAACAGCCGTGATGTGATGCTACGTTTCATCTCGCTGGCAGGTTGGCTGCAGCCCCGCCAGCAGGTAGTTCTGAGGGTTTCTGAAGCGGGCTTACCTTCCCGAACCAGCCATTGCCGATCTCTTTCAGGTACAGGAGACTGTGGCGGCCGAGATCTGTGGATTTCAGGAGCTGGACTGAGGAGGAAAACAGACGAGAGGAGAAGATGTTGTGAGTAATCTCTGAATGAAATCTGTCAGCAGTGTTTTAGCACGTTTTCTACAAACCGCTCTGTGTCACATTACAGCTTGCTGATGTCTTTCAGAAACGTAAACCCTTTAGTGGCCTTTAATTTCTCATTAAAATCTCATTTTTCACTGCAGTATAAAATCCTGCACCTCTATGGAAACAGAAGCAGAGAGAAATGTCTGACAACACCATCAATTTTTTAAATAGGAGGGAAAAAAATAGAATTTCTTGACGAAAATCTAAAAAAAAGTTGTCCCCAGGTGTTAGCAACACTGGGGAAAATGTGATGATTCTACATACTATAGATATTTGACTACTTACATTTTTAAAATCTCTACAAATTCAATATTTTTCTTGCTGCTCAGCACTTAAAACCTATAAAGAAGTCTCACCATCAGCTGGATGTACCTTCCAACAACTTGCTCCTCTGGTTGCTGTTTCTGCGCCATGCTGCATTCATTTATTGATCTATTTGTGTTTTATTTCGCTCTCAATCGCTAAAATTTCTTTCCATGCTTCTGATGATGATTTTAAACTGAGACTGTGTTATCTTCTCTTGGAAATTCTTCCTGTTTTCTTTGTTTTTTACCGTTTCTGGCTCTGATGAATGGTGTAATTTTGGATTTTTAAAAGAAAACATGCCTTTGAAAGAGGCTCTTTCATTGAACACAAAGTGCATTAATTTCAATCCAAGGTACAATATAATACGGGTGCATTCAGGTTGCATCGTTACACAACAACAACACAACAATAATCCAAGGCTGGCTGTCACTCTGATGGATTACACCACTCAAGCGTTTGCGAGGCCAGAATGAAAATGGAGGAAAATAAATTAGTGATGCACTGATTAATCAATTAAATGCCATTTTGAGATAATTGCCACGGACTAATTCCCAGGTGAAGCGCTAACGGAGGCTACGTTGGTCAGCCTGACCAGCCACTGCAGCTAATGGGATGTTTTCCACGATGCAAGAGCTGCAGTTTCCATTCAGTCGGCCGCGCCTCTAAACACGTTTATTACGAATATTGTTCATGCTAAAGGAGGAAAAACCAAACATGTGACTCACAGGAGAGAGCTGGAGAAGAACAAAAACCACTGATATCGGCTGAGCTAGCGTTAGTTAGAGGGCGTCTAACTGGTTTTTTATTATTAACTTGCTGTATTTTATCAAAAAAAAATCAACCATCAGCTGCTCTGTTTCTACAAACATGAACATGGACCAATAGAAAACCCACATTAATTAACAAAATCAAGTCAACAGTCAGCAAACAATATCAAGAGCACATGAGTTAAATGCTCTTATAAGCGATTTCCACTAAAAAAATTATAACTTCAACAAAAAAATTAATTAAATTAAATTAAAATGTCATTTGAAAGCTCTCAAAAACTCCCTAAACTTGAGAAAGCAAATGTGACTATTTTATGACTTTACTGTAATGAACACCTGCTTTATGTTGTTTCTTTCTAGCTTATCTCTAAACTGATGAAGTTTTGTAGTTTAGTTGCTTCAGTCATCAGCCAGGACGTCCCTCCACCGTCTCCACTCTTCACCCCTCAGTTTTCCGTCCTGCGCTGCTCCCTGTTGGATTTCAAATCGATTTTAAACTTTTTCTTGCCTTAAACAACCTCCTTCCTAAATGTATTTTGGATTTTTTTGACCTGTTGTGTGCCCTCTGGATGGCTGAGATCAGCAGACGAAGCCCTGCTGATTCTTTCCAGGTCACGGTTTGTAAAAAAGGCTGATCCCACTGTTTCCATCAGAGCCTCCACCCAACAGCGTCTTACAGTGTTGTCTCTCTGTGAAAACTTATGGAACTGTTTGTTATAAGCTTTTGTTTGTAGTTCTTCATTAAATTATATTAATTTTGCGGTTTCTAACTCTGTGCTCGTGTGCTTGCTATCTGCCTAGTGTTTTATTTTTATTTTTTAAGCACTTTGTTTATTTTTTACATTGACTATAAATAAAGTCTCACGATAATCTAAGTTAAAATCTAAAGCAACGACTAAATTCTGTGCAATGTTCTGGTGTTGCTGGTTTCTCTGTCATTTTCACTGAACTTTAGCTCTTAAGTTTTGCTGTTTTACTGGTTTATTGTTGATCTTATTGATACTGATGCAAGTTTTTTACTATTTAATTTACATTTGCATGTTTTTAGGTTGATTCACGGAACAGTTTCTTCAGCAAACAATGAAGTCGACCTGGATTTTGATGATTAGATTAGCTTTTTTGTCATTTTAAGTCATAAAACATCATTAAATTCTGTATTCTTTTGAACAGAATGAAGGGAGGAAGTATTTTTAGTACCAAAAAAACAAAAACAAATAATGAGATGAAGGTGAATCAAATGTCTTAATAATCTACGATCATACTATCTACATAGACAGAGAGGCCAAGGCATAACTTGTAAAAGCAACATGAGAGAACACACCACATCCAGGTTGTTAAGTGGCTTCTGCAGAACCCATCCCGTGTCCGATCGATGGCCATTAACCCTCTCCAAAACGAAACATCCCAGCGCACCGGTGGATGTTGCCCATCGTCTGCGAGTAAACAAACCGGACTCCTCTCGAGTGTTATTCTACACCGGCACCCATCTGTCTGCCCGTCCTCGTCTCTGCATCGCTGTCAGCGTCCCCTGCCGACCCGAGTCCTTCCCGCCTGCTCGACATGCCCGACCGTCCCGGCCCGACCCGGCTCAGCCAAATGAAATGGACCGACAGCAGCATCCCCTCCTCTTCCACCCATCACCAGCGATGCCTTTGTCTCCCTCCGCGACTCCCACGATGACACTTGGATTCTGGATTCAGAGGCAGACAGGCACATCTTTGTCGTGCCGTCTTCCCCCTTCCAGACCGCCACACAGTCCCGTCACTGTGTGGAGGCCATATTGGACACCCCTGTCCCCTTCCCCAGACTGGTCATTCCTTACACCCACTCACGCTCTCTCTGGCCCACAGCAGAATAGCCACCATTGTCTGGCCGCTCAGGGCAGCATGGCACCAGTTAGGACCAGTTAGCACGCACACACTGGGGCTATTATCCAGCAGCTCCATGACATAGGAATGGACTGAGTTTTGGTGATAACAGCGGCAGGCAACGGCTCCCACCTACACCATCATGTTTACCACAGATATTCATAACGCCGCTGGAACAATGAGGCGAAGATGATGCATGAGTGGACAAATACTCCCCAAAAACTACCGTCATGTTTGTTGAATTTGACAAGAAGATTATATTCAAGCTTTTCACAGATGTCTAAAAGACTTTTTTACATTATTTTCAACATCTTCACACTTTATCATAAGCTACTTGAATCTAAAAGCATCCACGTCGAATGTTTGTAAGTATCTGCTCCACCAGTACAGATAATGAGCGCTCTGAAATGTTTTGTTATGCCTTCATTCTTAGCCAGAATGAAAATACCCAGAACCCCCTGCTACGATCTCTTCACAGCTAATATACTAACTCAATTCCGTCTGGCCTCCTCTAAGCTTTGTCCTGCTGAGCATCTCGCCGAAGAGCACGTCTGGATTTAGCGCTGCAGTCGCCAGGAAGTCTTTAGCGAGATGCACAGCGGCTAAATCACTCAGAGCCAAATGGAATTCCCATTATCCCCTCCGAGCCCGTCCACTGTCTGCTCAGGTGCTGTTGTGCTGCTCTCTTGGACCTTCGAGTAAAGTTACGCGTTACCGTTTCCCATCCTGGTTGTGTAACTCAATTAGAAATAACAGCACGGCGAAGATTCAGAGGTGGAGCCCTTGATGGGATTTAATCAACGATGGTCAAAACAAATGTTGATATATGTGGAAAAAACGCTCCAAGTCAACAAACTCATGATGTAACTAATTCTAGCAATTCTAATTAAAGATATATATCTACAATTGCTAGTGCAAATGTTTGTTTTTGATATCAACTTTTAGTTTCTAACTCGTGGAAATGTCCAGAATATTTATCTGTAGCTTGATTACGACGAGTCAGCTTTTACTATTGACTTCCATACAAACTTCTGTACAACCTAAATAATAGATTTCCAATATTTATCTCTGATATAATTCCAAGTGTAATTTTTACTAGAAGGAATTCTAATTAAATATATGTACGATTCATTTCTCATCACTGATATCAACAATTCATTTCTCACTAGTGAAATAGTCACCTCCCAGCTAGACTGTTTTGTTTTTTTTTTGTTCTAAATATGTTTTGAGAAAATTCTAATGAGTATTTTTTTTCATTCTTATTTTCTAAATGAGCAGGATGTCCCTCGTACAGACAGGACCGTGTTGTGTAAAGACATGGTTGTTGGTAACATTTCCTCAAACATTTTCTGAATGTTGCATCGAATGTTCTTCCTTTGTCCTAATTTCACTTTGTTCCAATTGTTTGATCGTTATTTTTTATTAAATTAAAAAAAATATGTAAATCAGCTTTGCCGAGCTGAAATGTAATGCCTACATGTGAATACATATATATATGTTGTAGCATCTTCAAATAGTTTTACAGATGTGTTAAATTAACATTATGACATGAACCATGAGTGAATATTAAACTGCTACTAGTCAGCCTGGCTGTTAAAAGAACCACCACAGTGCACAGCAACTTGTTTTTTGCTCAGATTCCTC